TGGCAGTCCAATCTCCTTGCCTTGAAGTTTCTGGCATTAGGTAACGCGTTCTTTTTTGCAGCTGAAGCCAAAAGAAGGCTCAGCTCTGGCATTGTCCCAAGAGGCCTGGCCGAAGTGGACACTCTCCAAGGAAAAGCTGGTTTGCCCCCCCCTCCCCCCCGCCATTTCTGTGACTGCAATCCAGCCAGGAGGGGAAACCCAGGATTTAACTATCATGCATGATAAAAGGGAGGGAAACGGATGCACTGTGTTACCTTGAGTCCCAGAATATGTCCACTCACCTGCCGCTTATGGGGCAGTCTAACTCTATGGCAGTTAGTTCTGTTGAACTGAACCGGGATTCACTTCTTGATAGACATGTGTAGGATCCGATTCTCAGAACACAAAATGCCATCATGTTCCAGTGCAATGAAGAGACCTATCACTGAATCCCACCTCTTGTCTTTTAGACGACTCCTGTCCCAAGCCTTCTCTCCAACTCCAGCTGGTGCTCAGCATCCTCTCCCCGTGTTTCTTTGACAATACCACCCCCCCCTTTCCTGGGAAATTGGGGCAGAGCTTCCAAAAAGTGGTAGGTGTTAAGGAAGTAAGAATGCCTCCCTCAGGTAGCTGAGTGTCCCTGGTAGCTTCCTTCACAAGTCCTAAAGGTGAGCTATCAAATGGACAAACCAGCAAGGAGGACACCCCCAGCCCACCCCTCACACCCCCACCCCCCTGAGGTTCAGCACCCAGAGCTTTCCCTCTCTGGATGTGTCTGTGTAGGGATAGTAAATGATAGGTAGACTAGTACTCACCAGATCAGAGAGGAAGCTCGCCATCTCTTACTTAAGGAGTGAGCAGGAACTAATTTCCTGTAACTGGGAGGCACGTGGGCTGCTTCTCAAAGAAGTCTCTTACTGCAGAAATAAGCAGTTGGCCCCATTTAATTAAAGTTAAAGTTTGCCACGCAAGTTTCTAATTAATCTATTAATTTTGCTTTCTCTGCAAAGTTGGAGCTTTTGGGTTAAATAAATAATCCAGCAGTAGATACAATGACCAATTAAAGAATCAGAAACTGCCTCGCTTCTGCTAACACCCACAGATTTAGGGAATATTTGGCCTTTGCTGTCATCAGGTTATATAAATTTCCCCTTGCCTCACTGAGTCCTGAAAACCATGTGAGATGGTTATAGAAATGAAACTTTCTGCTAGCAGTTGGTTAGAGTTGACAAGACAAATTCAGTTCTTTGGACCAAAATAATGTAATGTTAATGAAAGTTTACCTGAATACACATTTCTTTTTCTTTTCTTTTTTTTGTCGAGCATGTATTAGATAACAGATATAAGTATAAACATGATTATTAATACATGAAATGGATATGACTAAAAGGGAACATTAGGACAGGGATGGTAGGCACATTGGTGCACGTATGCACGCCCCTTACAGACCTGTTAGGAATGGGGTGAGGTCAATAGTAGACAGGTTAAAGTTTTTGGGGTTTGGGGAAAAAACCACAGAGTCAGGTAGTGTATTCCAGGCATTGACCACTCTGTTGCTGAAGTCGTATTTCCTGCAATTGAGTTTGGTGCAGTTTACCTTGAGTTTATATCTATTGTGTGCTTGTGTATTGTTGTGATTGAAGTAGTCATTGACAGATAGGACATTGCAATGGATAATTTTATTTACTACGCTTAGGTCGGACCGAAGGCAGCATAGTTCTAAGTTGTGTAAGCCTAAAATTTCAAGTCTGGTGGCATAAGGGATTCTGATACGAGTAGAGGAGTGGAGGATTCTTCTCATGAAATATCTCTGGATACTCTCGATTGTATTAACGTCCGATACGCAATGTGGATTCCAGACAGATGAGCTGTATTCGAGAATTGGTCTAGCAAATGTTTTGTATGCTCTAGTTAGTAGTACAATATTACCGGAGAAAAAGCTACGCAGGATTAGGTTAACAACTCTTAATGCCCTTTTGGCAATGTTGTTACAGTAGGCTCTAGCACGTAGATCATTAGAGATGAGTACTCCAAGGTTGCTCTCAAGTGCAGGTTCGCCGGTTTCTGTGCTCATGGATGCGACTCCCAACAGAAAAACCAGACCTGGTTCAAGAGAACTGGTGAATCACTGAGGTTTGATGAATTGATAAAACGCGGCACCTACACACATATTTATATATTTATTAAATATATTTGCCTCTTATCTCGCCATACTCTAGATGGCTTACAATAATAAAAAGGAAGAAAATGAAAGTGTAAACATAACAGAAGTAAAATAATAATTGAATAAAATAAACCACAAAAAAGGAACAATGGGACAATATCAATAGGATAACCAAAAGGGTGGAGGGAGAGGGAATATATACATTGTGTGCAACGTCAGGTTTTCATTCTTGTCAGCTCAAAAGAAAAAAGACTGAAAGATACAGCCGGGTGTCCCTCCACAACTCTGTTATTCTGTTAATAATTCAGGCTTCCCGGAATGTAGGATGGAATTTTATTGGACTCCTGAATTTTCTGTCACCTTTCAGCAAATTACTAGCCAGTAATTTCTCAATGATCATTTCGCATAAACCTGCAGTGATTTGAGAAAGAACAGTTTATGTTTTACCACAGAGTTCCGCAACCTTTCTGGCTTTGTAGACTGGCGGGGATGGTTTTGTGTAAGTGGCTGGCAAGTTCGCCACACACACACCTGCTGCTTACACAAGTGGGGTGTGCGCGTGCTCACCCACGGCTTCTGCAGCCAGGTTCCAAATGACCAGGGACCCTGGTTAACCAGAGCCTCACAGAGTAAGAGGGAGTCAACCTATTCTCCGAAGCACTGAGGAAAGGACAAGAAGTAATGGGTGGAAGGTCATTAAAGAGAGGTTCAGATCTAAGGAGAAATTTCCTGGCAGAATAATTAACTGGTGGAATGACTTGTCTCCCCTGGAGATTTTCAAGATGAGGCTGGACAGCCATTTGCCCAGAATGGTATAGGGTCTCATGCCATGCTTAATGGGTTGGACTAGATGATCTCCAAGGTCCTTTCCAACCCTATTGTTCCATGTTCTATCGATCAGTAAAGGGAGAAACTTAAATTTGAAAGTTATTCCACTCATTAGAGTAGAGAGAACAGAAGCCTACTGGGGTGCAGGATCATTGTCGAGGTGGAAAACAGTACGGATGTTGGTACACTTTTGCTCTCAGTGAAAGTCTTTCTCTCCCCCACTCCCTCTCCTTGATCCCTTTGCCTTTGGATATCTGAGGAGCTAACCTAGCTAAGGGTACATAGAACAGAGAACTGTAGGGCTGGAAGGGACCTCAGAGGTCTTCTAGTCCAACTGCCCGCTCATGGCAGGAGCCTCATACCACCCAAGGCGAATGGCTGTCCAGTCTGTTTTTGGAAACCTCCAGTGATGGAGAACTCGCATCTCGGGGAGACATTCTGTTCCATTAGTGCTGTCAATTAATTGTTCTCACTGTCTCACTTCTAGGTTGGATCTCTTTCTAACAAGCTTCCATTTATTACCTCTTCTGCCCTCTGGTGCCTTAGGGCAGGCGTCCCCAATCCCCGGGCCGCATCCTACTAACGGGCCACAACCTGTTCAAATCAGTCCGCAGGAGAGACAGGCAAGCATGTCCACGTGTGAAGCTTTGCCCAAGCAAGCAAAGGGCGCTTGCACTTGTGCGCAAAGCTCCACGTGCGAGTACACTTGTGCGGGAAGCCTTCTTCGTGTGAATGGAGCTTCATGCACAAGCACTGTCTGCTCGCATCAAGGGAGCTTGGTGCACAAGCGCAAGTGCCCTCCGCTAGCGCGCAAAGCTCCATTCGCGCGAATGGCTGGTGCCCATGCCCACTGCTTGCACAAATGGAGTTGTGCGCACGCCTGTGTACCTGCCACTCACACGCACAGCTGGAAAGGTTGGGGACCACTGCCTTAGGGAATAATTCAATTCACTCAGGTTCCTGGAAGAGAGTTATCATGTCCCTCCCACAAATCCTTCTCTTGGATGGGTAGACCTATCTAGCTCCCTCAACCATTCATCATATAATTTATCCTCCATACTCTTTATCATCTTGGTTTCTCTTCTCTGTGCTCTTCCTAAGGTCTCAACATCCTTTTTTTGTGTGTCACGGTGACCAGAACTGGGTTCAGTACTCCAAGTGTGGTCTCACCCGCATGGCATAAAGCGGTACTATCACTTTTTTCGTGATACTGATGTTATCCCTCTGTTGATGCAGCCTAGGACAGCATTGGCTCTTTCGGAAGCTGCCACTCACGGCCGGGTCATACTAGGGGCAGCGCCACTACAACACTTAGATCCCTGTCACAGTCTTTATTGTTGAGACGTTCTGTCCCTATGCGCCTGTTTCTTCCTGCCTATGTGTAGGATCTTACTTTTCTCACCACTGAGCTGCATCTTGTTGGATAGACATGGGAGAGACATGGAATCTTAAAAGTGCTAGAGAAGAGACTCTCATCTCTAGCACTTAAGGGTGGTTTTCCGATTTCAGCTTGATAAAGCCACTATTTTGTGCCCCGCTGTTAGTCCTGTGAAGAAGTACAAACAGAACCATGAGCTCTGTCTTGTCAGGTGGCCTTAAGGGAATGTTGTCACACTGAAAGTATTTCTCTCCTCCTTTCCTTTGACTCTGGAAAACTGGGGAGGGTCCCTTCTGAGATGCTTCCCATGCCGCCCCCTGTCCGTGGACTGGGACATCTTTTATACGTCATTTCTCCAGACCGTGGCTCTCCTTCCCACCTTCCGTGGCATAACATTATATCTGCATTCTGGGATGGGAGAGAAGAAGGCCAACTTTTCAGTATTGGGAGCTGCTGGCTTGCTTGTGTGTTTATTTAACTTGTATGCCACCTGTCAACATTTCTAGGTGCCTCGCTATAATCAGACAGTGAAATTGCAGTAACATCAGCATCCTCCCTCCGTTGCCTTGTTTTCTCAAGGTTAAGAAGTTTTTTTTCCCCCTTTCCTGTCCTCTGATTGCCCCCTCCTGCTGGAACCAGCCAGGCCCTTGTGTGAACTATTAAAATCTGCAATATTGACAAAAATACGAGCATCTTTATTTCTTACTGGATCATGTCATCTCAAAACAACCAAGCTTTGTTTGTGCTTTAACATCTTAGGGATGGAGAAGCAGCTCTGGAGGGTCATCTAAAGGGACCTCCAAAAAGCTGCAGGTTGGACCATGCAGGGGCTTCTCTGAGATTTGAGAGTCCAGCTTTGTCACAGTTTGGTACACAATTCAGGATCTTTGGTCAGCTCGGCTTCTAAGACAGGAATTTGTTTCTTCTTAAAATTAAGTTTATCAAATTCTTCTTGGATTTCTAGGATGGATTTTTTCTTTGTCTCAGGCAGGAAGAAGTAAATAATAAATCCTGAAGTGTAAAGGGTCCCCATGAAGATGAGAAAGGAGAACTGACGGAAGTTTTCCTGTGGGTGAAAAAAAAAAGGATTACAATAGCTTCTTAGTGGAACAGAGGCTGATTCTTGTGCAAATTCCCAATAAATATTCCCGTCTGGTTTCCAAATACCAAGTCCTGGGATTCAGCTGGTATTGCCAACTTTGCATCATTCAGCAAGTCAGCTTCAACCAACTTACAAGATGTTGGCAGTTAATTGCGCCAACTTTCCTGCAGATTGGAGGGAGGAATAAATCCCCGTGGACCAGAATCACCTACCATCATTAATGGAAACACCATTCCGATCACAAAGACCCCAACCCAGCTCAGGGTCCCATTAATCGCAAAGGCAGGGGCTCTGGATGACTGATCAAAGATTTCCATCCTGAGAGAGACTGTGGCACCAGCTATGGAGATGAAAAGAGAAGAGAAGTTGGAAGGATTTGGGAATGGTGGCTAAAGAGGGTGCAACCACTCCAGCTCCTGTGAAAGTCATGGCAGGATTCCAGATCATAACACCGGAAACAGACCGTAGGCATTCTCACCTGTGGCCAGAGTTGTACACTTCTGTATACAACAATCCTTATGGCAAGTGCTCAGTAGTACGTGCTGCCTTCTTTTAAGTATTTGCATATCCTGTGAATTTCCCAGTTTCCCATCTTTAGCAACAGTTGGACAAGGTACAGGCAGTTTCAACTTGTGACTGGAAGCTATGGCATATTTCCCAAAGCTGCTTATGACCAGGTTTCAAAGTTGTGGCAACTGCAGCATCCCCACAGTTATTTGCCCGTCTGACTGATGACAGAAAGGCTGCAGCCCTCACCCGTCCCTCACTTTATTCTGCCCCCCTACTTTGAAAGATTTAAACCAAAAGTAACTTTAGGTATCCATATAAATCTCTGTTGAAGAAATTACCTGGGCCCATTCCAAAGGTAAATACAAAACAGAAGATCAAAGACAGGCAACAATAAGGCATCCAGGAGAACCAGGGCTGAAATAAACAAAACTGTGTTTTAGGTCATTAACTTATTACGGTCAAACATGGATGCCAACTAACTCCCTCTGATTCATGAGCCAGAGGTTTAATTTTTATCAAAATCCTAAAAACATCCTGGTTCCTGGCCCCCCATTCTTGGTCTCCCCATCTGCAGAGCCCTTGTCTGGTCAGCAGAATAAATTTTCTCTTCTGATTATGCTCAGCCCTCAGCTTGGCTTTTGCCTTGGGAATCAAATCATCTTCCTCAGCCAAAAGCTTGTTGCTTCCATCTTTTTTGACCACAAAGGTGTGTGTGTATGTGTGTTTGTGTGTGAGAAAGGGAGCGGGGGGAACCTATTAGATCAGGGGAATGTAACCTAGTTCAGTGGCCTCCTCCAGTAGATCACTCAACAGCTGGCACCCCTTGTTTGGATGAGCAGCTCATGAGGCTTACCTGCAGGGAGAGGGCTAAGGTGATACCAGCCAGCATGGTGCCCATCAAAGCGTAGCCTGCCCAGAGTAGCACCTTTCTTCCAAATCGTTCGATGATGAAGCTCTGAAGGATTTGGAGAGAGGAATGAGCACTTGGAAGGTGACCTTGCAGTTTGATCCATGGCTAACATGAGAGCTGAAGGAGCTTCTTGGATGAGAAGCGAAACATCTTCAAAGAAAAACCAGAAAGTCCAGTTGCTTCTTGAAAAAGCATCTTTGGGACGAGCAGGACCCGGAGGACTGAGAATCTCCATAGACACCAAGAGCTTATAAACCAGAGACCGGTTCCTTGTGTGTCCAATCACACTTGGCCAATGAAGAATTCTGTTCTGTTCTCTGCCCCGCCCTGATTTCAGTGATAGATCCCAAGAGGATGCTCTGAGAACAAGGCTATGGAAGCCTGCTCAGGGCCAGCACGGAGGGCAGTGCTGCTCTTGGGAATCTCCTGAGACTTGCCAGCCACCCCATTTGACATATGTTACCTTTCTTCCAAGGGCCAGAAGGAAGTAAGGCTATCCCACACCTTATTTATTTTAATAATTAAACGTTTATTCCACTTTTATCATTTTTGTAAACAACTCAAGTGGATGAACGTACCCAATGCTCTCTCCGTCCTCTATTTGCCCCACCACAACAATCCTATTGTGAGGTGGGTTGGGCTGAGAGCGACTGGCCCAAAGTCACCCAGCCGGCTTTGTTGCCTAAGGCTGGGCTAGAACTCACAGTCTCCTGGTTTCTAGTCCAGGCCCTTAACCTCGAAACGCACCAGCAGGATTGTGCGCTCAATGCCTGATGCTTGCAGAGGGTTCAAGTGGTGGCCACAAAGCCAGCCAGGCAGTCTCTAGCCAGGGCCCTGTCTTGGCTTCTTTCCTTTTTGGAGGAAGGGCTGCCTTCTCTGGGGCAGCCACTACCCTGCTGTAACTCACCCCGCTCCCTTGCAGAGCTACTCACTCACACAGAGGACAGCAGAAAGCAGTTCGCAGAGGCTCACTCCCAGGGCCAAGTAGGGGATTTGCTCAAGGTGGAACCCAGCAGCCTGGAGCACTTCAAAAGTGTAGGAGTAAATCTGAGGAGGAGGAGGAGGAGAAACCAGGGCAGCCATCTGAGGTATAGGAGGAAGATGCTACGACTGCAGAGGAGCAGTCCTGGAAGGGGAGGCTTTCAATGGAAGGAGGGAGCGAGTTCAGAACAGGGCATTAATCAAACCAGCCTTAGGAAGCAAGAGAAGGAAGAGCCAGTCCTGGCTTGGAAACACCGCCCCCCCCCTCCAATCTCTACTTCCACTCCCAAGGGGAAAATAGGTCAGGGAGCAGCGTTTTCCTGCTTCCGTAACTCCAAGTGAAAAAGCCTCCAATGGACTGGGGGCCTCACTCAACTGCCTGGATGCCGCTCAGCTGTGTGGTCACCGCCAGGACAAAGAGCATGTAGAGCTGCCAGCGCAGGGAAGGTTCCTTGACCAGTTCCAGGAGGCCCTTGCTCTGGGCGCTGGTCAGGGCTGCTTGCTCTTTCCGCAAGTCATCCAGCTCTGCCCGATGAGGCTGTTCCCCCCAAAAGGTCTTCATTGCTGGGAAGGAGAAAGAGGGCATGGCAGGGACACCGGGCATCGCTGCCACAGGACACAACTTCGGGTCCAGCGGGCCCATCTCCTCTGGCTCTCTGCCTAGCAGCAGAACCAGCTGGCCCATTTACTGGGGACCCCAGATCCAGTTGGTGGCAAACCAGTAATGGCACAGCTAATACTTCTGTGGACGTAAAGGTAGGGAACTCGTGGAGTTAGCAGGGGGGGCCATGCTAGTAGAGGCACAAAAGGAAAAGTAGAAAAAGGAGAGTGGGCAGAGGACGGTCTGTCTCTAACAGAACAGAAGAGAATCACACGTTGGAAAGGGTCTTGGAGCTCTTCTATTCCAACCCCCTGCACAAGCAGGAGACCCCCACACCCTCCTGGCTGTCCAGTCTTTTCTTAAAAACTCCAGTCATGGAGCATGCACCACTTCCGTCTCTGAGAGACCCACGGTGGAAAAGGACCTTAGAATCACTTTGGTGCAGGCAGGACCCGCTCAGGCAGTTTGGATAGTCATCTTACTTAGCCCTGGTTTGAGAGAGGGGAGGACCCCCTTCCTGTGGCAGTCTGTTCCACTGGCTAGCACACAGTCAGGAAGTTGTTCCCGATGCCTGCTCTGTATCTTCTTGCACGGGGTTTGAATTTGGTTCTGGCCTCCCCACCTGGAGCACCAGGGAAGAGTCTGCTCCATAGGAAAAACCCTCAGGATTGATCCTAATTATATTGCTGCCCACCTCAACTGGATGACTCAGGGCAGCTCACAACCATGAAAAGAAACATGGAAGGATCCAAACAAGATAGCAATTTAAGAACAATAAAAACTAAAACTATATAAAAACCATATACAGGTGGTCCTCACTTAACAATGGTAATCGGGGTTGACCATTCCAAACTCAGGCTCCTCTTGGTAGCCTCCCTTTGACTTGACCCAATTTCTCATGGTTTTTCTAGCTGCCTTTTCAGAGGCTTTTTAATGTTATTGTTTCTCACGGAAGCATTGTCACCTGTTACCTTTCACACATCCTTCTTCGTCTCCTCGGTGCAAAAGCAAGTGAGGTGGCGACTCGGGGAAGAATGGTAGCGTGAGCAAGGGGACCAAGGCTGTACCCCCGCTGAAGGCCAGCAGCACTGGCCAGAGGGCCTCACTTCCCAAAAGCTCCCTGCGAAAGCAGATAGAAAACCTAGTTTTTTCCAAAGATGGATCAGATCCACCTCTTGTGCCCTCGTGACCACAACCATTAACGCTGAAAAAGTGTCATGAAACGAGGGCATTGAGGAAAGTGTGACTGTACCTTAGTCCCATAACTTGACCGAGGACTTTTCCCAAACACCAAAACATGGCAGCGGTTGAAGTGGTTAATCCGCGGAGTTTTTTGGGGGAAACCTCCCCAAGGTACTGGGGATGAAGAAGGATACAAACACCTTGAATTGAAGGCAGAAAACAAGTTATTGGGGTCACATGAAACAAAAATAATCTGCTGTGCCATCAAAGCGAAGCAAGAACAGTTTCGCTACAAAGAGACGCACAAAAGGGAACAGTGGAAACTGGTTTGATCTTAGCGGGGTTGGCTCTGTGCAGGCTGCATAGGATGGGGGCAAGCTGGGTGGGGCTCCTTGTTCTGTCTGGCGCCCAACCCTCTCCTGACTTCACGACGGGACTCAGCTTTTCACTTGACTCGGCCAAGGATTGGTTGATGTGGCTTGGCTTGATCAAAACCTTGGTGGCGACAAAAGAGCAAGTTGTACGACAAGGGGCAGCCCACAGCCGGTGCAATAATGCAACACCCTTGGTGCTCTTCCTCTACCCTTCCAAATTCCTTACAACTCAACCGTTGCATGTTCACATTCTGTGCTCCCTCAGTCCTAATATGTCCTGGCACCTGTTTGGGTCTTGGCCTGCCGTTGGGAGAGGCGGGTGCATACCTGTGCTGATGCCACACAGAAAACGTCCCACCAGAATCAGTTCGACAGACCTGGCCATCTTGCTGAAGCCCAGGAGGAATGCGCTGGCCACCATCAGCACGTTGCTGCCCAAAAAGCATTTCTTCCTGTCCATGAAAAAAGGGAAGCTCCGATGTTTGGAAGAGGATGAGGATTTCTGGCTCGAAGTGAGACCGGCCTGTTCATGGGGGGCCCAGGAGCAACCATCCCTTCCTTCAGACAAAGAAGAGCCAGCCACTTCTCATCCCATTGTCATCAAGCAGGGTGCAGTTTTTTTGGGTGGGTGGGTGGGTGAGAACTAGAAAAATTGGCCAAGGGAACAGCCTGGAGCACCCTGGTTGAGATGGGCCTCCTAAGGCAGACTGGGACCCTGGTTTGAGCTACTGGAGCAGGAAATGTGTCCTCTCTGCAGGTTGTACAATCTCTCAGACAAAAGTAACTCTGGGGGTCAAAATGGCCCCTCTCCTGCCCCAGCACATGTGCCTCCCCCAGTTCAGGAAGTTACTTGGATCTCCATGGTGGCGGAAGTGACTCTGAGAGCAGCACGGGAAGGCCTGGAATGGCCTCCATTAAGGCCTCCCTGAGAGATGCCTCTCTGGGTCCTTCATTCCACAGAGGAAGCTTCTGGAAGGTTTCTCTTTCCCATCATTGAAATTCAGGTCCTATACTTGAGAAGAAGAGGAGGCCAGCCCTGACCTTCTTCTTCTACGTCTCTGGCTTTGAGATAGAGGAACAGAGCGAGCATATCTTCTCGGTTTCCTCGTAGCTAAATACATCCAGTTTTTGGAACTGTCTTCATAGGAAGACAGGAAAAAAATCCTGTCAGGAAGGTGTAACTTGCCTGATTTGGCATTACTGGCTTTCAAAAAATGGCCGTACACAACTTCCAAAATATATTCAG